AAAAAATATTTTTTTAAGGATGCCTGGTCACCGAATGGCTATCAGATGATGTTTGTAATAAGTTCGGTAAGGGCAACGATCACATTTCAATTGAGGTTGTTTTCCACATTCAAATCGCATATGACGTTGCATATTGCTTTTGTATTTATAAAATTTTCCACAAATTCCGCACTTAAAGGGACATTCTTCTTGCCGGTTCGGATAATATTCATTTCTGAAGTTTGGTAACATGTATTCCATATTTCCTAAAACAAAGAAAAATAAGTCAATTGTTCCATTGATTAGGCATTAGAGTAATGTACTAGGGTACTAATCATATACATAATTTAATCATAATAATATATGATTTCTTACTTCAAATCTCTACAAATTTATACAATACAAATTCAATAAATAATTTAACTAAACGAGAGATTATATGAAAAGTCACGAAGAAAACATGCTAAGTTTAGATGAAAAATTTTTCTCTATTTTCTTATAATTTGCAATGTGTGTTCTATGGTTTGAATAAAAAAATGTAATATGTACCAAATATAAAAAATACAACGGTGTCCATATCGAAATAATACAAATTTATGTAATATATTTTTATTTTAAAATTACATTTTTTATATTAAACCAGAGCCTTGCAAATGGTTTCATAAATCATCATATTTTAACCTATAAATATTTTGAAGTGAAAACTTCTTTAAGCGCGACTAGGGTGTAAATCCGTACAAATGCAACGGAAGTCCGTTACGGCAGAACTGAACGTCATTCGCTTTCGATGAAATCATTTTAATACGGGTCGAATGTGATTAGTCTCGTGTATGTGAATAGAGCGTTCCGATATGAAATAGAGGAAATCGGCATAGATAAATAAACATTTTAAAGTTACATCGTACTACAAATCTTGATTTAATGAAAAATGCCTGAATCAGAAGCATATTTTACTCCGTTCCTTGAAAATATTGATTAATAAGATTAATGATTAGTATGTTTATGATTAGAAATTATTTCTATATTATTTGTAGTTAAAGATTTATTTGAAGTTATTAAAATGGAAAATATTTTTTAGACAAGACAGATATTACAACTGTTCAAAGAATGAGTTTAGATCGCCAGCGAAAAAGTAAAAAAATTACAAGCAGTCAATAACTGTATGTTAATTTTAATTACATGAAGTTCTTCAAACACAATAACATCATGAGTGCAGTTGCAAAAACAATACTTGTTTAGGCGTCGTTTAACATAATCAATTATTCATTTAAGCAATTACTTCACTTCTGTAATGAAGATTCAAGTCGTAAGTGCTAATTACAATGACAAACCGATCATGTCATATTTGAAGTATGACTTTCATTGCATTATTGTTTAAATATTATGCATATTTTAATGCTATTATAAATATATAATTTATAATTATCATTATATAAATGTGTATAATGGTTGTCAACAAGTGTTACCATATTACTGATAAACATTATTCACAGTAGCAAATAAGTTTACTTCAGTCGCTTGTGAACCTTACGCGCACTCTTTTTAATATTAATAACATATATATAATAAAAATACATTAAATATTTATTTTTAGGTTCAAAAGAAATTGTTGTAACATATACTTTATTTTACTATCTACATAATATATAACTAAATAATGATAAAAATAAATATACTTTTGTACAATCAAATTGTTAATCATGATGAATCGTATAATATTTATATTAATAATAAGTACTACAATGAGTCTCATAGTAATATAATATAATTACATAAAAAATTTGTTATAAAATTATTCTGAATAAAATTTAGTTTAATGAAATTTAGTTTAATTTTTGTTTTAGAACTTTACTTTTTATGATATGCAAAAATTTAATTCCATGTATATAAGCAACACGAATTTATTTTACATAAAAATGACATGATTTTTAGCCTTTCTGCATTAAAAATTTATTAAATAAAAATATATAATAATGATTTGAAGCTTTGAAGTGAAAAATTGCATTTGGGGAGTAAATCGTCTATTTTCATCTCCATCAAAATTATTCCAGATCATATTGTGCTCAATAATATTAATTTTCGTTAATGTATTTCGTTATGTATTTCGTATATAAAATAAAAAAATATAATCTTTTATATATAAATAATTAGAGAGTTGCACGTCAATGATAAAATATGTAATTGCAATTAATCACCATAAGCTCCGATATAACATAGGTTGCAGTTGGATCATATAAAATATCTTTAAAGACCTGGATTTCTCCAATGAAAATAAGAGGAGCTTATAAAAGTTATGAATAATTTTCTCTGTTTCATGATGATAAGAAAAAAAAATCCCAACAACTTGTGCCCAAAAAATGAAGAATCAAAGCAATTTAATGGTTGGTAGAGAGAAACTATTATAAATTAATTAATTATAAATTTCAATTTTGAGTATTATGAGCCAAATATTTTATTCAAATTCTCCCTCTCATGCATCCTTTTCATATGCACCACCATATTACTCCTATGGTACGTCCAATGGTCGCAATAATCACATTTATTAGTTGGCAATTTTCCGCATTCATATTTCTTGTGTCTAAATAAACAACTACGTGTTTTGTAAGATTTGTTACATTGCATACAAATATATAACTTTCTATTAACGTCATCAGTTCTTATAGTAATTTGACAAATATGTTTAGAAAATTCTTCAGGATTTGGAAGAAAAGTCAAACATTTGTCGCAGTATGTGCCAGGATTCGTTTGTAAAGAGGTAAACCACCGTTGGGAAGGACCTGAAATAAAAAATGTTTATAGTTAGTGAAATATAATATTTATTAAGAATTTGACGATAGGTGCAAAAAATCATGTTAAATTAATGCCTACTTGTGCAGGTAATATAATAAGAAAAGTCTCAAGCCTTTAGAAATCTATATGAGGGTATAATAATTTTTCTTACCATTTTAGATTTCATTTAAATTCTCATGATTTAAACATAATTTAGTTCAAGAATTATATTAGTAAAAAGCTAGTAATTCTTGTCAGTTCCTAAATGTACCTGTCTTAAACTTCTAAGCTTATTTGCAGTCTAGTAGTTAGAAGTAAATCGCCTATAAAGATTCTAGTGTGTTTAAATAATTCGGTATAGTCTACATTTAAAGCTATGATCACATTTTTTTCAAAATAGTAGATGGATCTTTAAAATATTAAATGAACTTTATTATAAGACTAACATAAATGATATAATTATATAAATAAAAGTATATTATAAATTAAAAATGTTAATAAATTATTTCAGCTTCTTAATTAAGACTTTATTTTCTAATTTGAACTTATAAACAAAATATATACAGATATAGTATACACAATTACATTATCAAATAAATATTTATGGAATGACCCTTAAAAGTAATACATTTGTTATTACAATTTTCAACGTGATTGACTTAATTTTTATTCTATTTATATTATATAAATTACTATAACCTAATCTTCTTTTCCATTTGACCCCGGTTTTTATAATAAAATGCAAAACATTTTAAAACTACATTTTTTATATACATATTGATATACTTTTTTCAATATGAAACATGTATGAAAATTATATTTATACAAGAAAATGATAAATATTAACACTATACATTTGGTTTGGTGCTTCTAGAACACTAAATACTTGTCACTATTCACCAATTAATTTTTTTTGAACTCTTTTATTTAGCAATCAGAATTATATAAAGATTGCTATGATCTAAATTTACAATATTTGAGAGTTCAACCAGTTCAAATTTAAAAATAATTTAAGGAGTGAAAATTTCTGATAAATTAATTAAATACGCAATTTTGCAATTTATGGAAATTTCTCTAGCTAGGACGCCTAAGTAAATTTGCATACTTAGTAATCTACATGTACACAATAAATTATTAATAATAATAATAATTACTTAACTATTTTCTTATAAATAATTTCTTATAAATAATGATTACGTTTCTTCAATTTTCATCATAAAAATTGATGAGTTTAATCAAGTGGCCATTTTCTCTTCGGTCAACGACGATAGTTTTCTATTAGTAAGGAGTTTGCTAGTAAATTTGGATGACATGTTTCTATACTTAGGCGCTGTTTTTTGCTTTTAATCCAACATTTTACTTTCACCAAATTTATTTATTATGCCAGGAATTTTATTTTTTAGGACAAGAGTTTTTCCTGTGCCTAATCAGGTGATGTTTGTGGTGCGTCCTATAACTGCAGTGATCGCATTTCAAATGAGGCGGTTTTCCACATTCGAATCGCATGTGACGTCGCATATTTCCTTTGTGCATGTAACATTTTCCACATAAGTGACATCTATAAGGGTGACCATCTTGCTGATTTGTTACATCAAATCCATAATTATAATCTATAGAAAATCCGAGGTCGCCTGAAGTGAAAAATAATTGATTAGTAAAAAATAAATGTGATGTTTCTATCAACTCATTAATATAAGTAGTATTTAAGAATTCATGTATAAACAATCCATGTATTATTTTATATAAAATAGATACAAAATATAGATCTTATATTACAATATCAATAAAATGAATAAACTTTACTTAATTATATAGATTAGGGCGGGTCAAATTTTTTACCCATTAAGGTACATCGCAAAACTTGTTCTAGGGGTAATTTTATTTTAATAATTATCTTCATGAACAAATACTATATTTATTGTCTTATCTAATACGGATGCCAGTAATAAATTATATGTTACATTTTTTAATAAAATTCATAAATTAGGTTAAATTAAACTAATAACTTTATAACGATACAATCAGACACCAAACTATATTTTAGAGCGGGAAATTATTTTATTATTAGGGCACATCATAATTCTGATTTTAAAATATATTTCAAGAAATTTTGACGAAGAAACCTTAGCATGGAAGTGAATTTGGAGCCAGCGTATTTTTAAAATAATTTTTCCTTCATATATTTATTTTAAATGCTACCTTACAAAAGTATGAAAATCTATATTCAATACTGCTTTTACAAAGGTCCCACATGTACTGGACTGGGAATTTATTTGAATAATGTGTAATTACAGAGTTAATAGTCAAACGAGCCTCCAAAAATATTATAGGCCTATCAATTCTATAATCATGCGAAGATTCAGCAAATTCCCAGATGATATTTCAACATATGAAGAAGGAACTTTAATGGAAATTTGTTGCCTCGAAATTCACTCCCGAGCTATGGTTTCTTCGGAAAAGTTTCTTGAAATAACCCATATACTCGTAGTCATACTCGCAATAAGACCCTGTGTATTTTTTCGACAGCATACAACTTGACCAGCCCTAATATTTATATACAATGTATATACGAATACAAATATTTATATATTTTTACAGTTTATAAAAGCTTTAAGGTCTAAAATCAACAGTTGAATTTAATGGTCACATTCTAAATTACAAATGGATGAATGGACTTTTGTAATCCCTTTGCATTTTATTAATTCTTTACAAACCTTTTACATTTATTAAGTCCAAAATAAACATTAGTACATTAATAACAACAATAACTCTAAAATTCACATTGTAAACCTTTATAAATTTAAAGTAAATATTGTCATGATTTTAAGTACAGTTAACTAGCAAGAGTTTTTCTAAAATTAATAACTTCATCACTTATATATATAATAGGGTGGTCCTTAATATAGACAATTTCTAATTTTTTTATTCCCAAGGGCTCAAATGGTCCATACTGATAAAAAATAATTCTCTGAAAGTTTTAGCTCTTAATATTAACTTTTAGATAGTGGAAAAAAATTTTGAAAAATAAAAAAAAAATTTAGGTATAACTTAGCGACAAAATAAAAACTCATTCATTTGTTCACTAAATTATATCTAAAATCATTTTTAAAACTTTTGAAAAAATTTTCATGCTATTTCCATGTAAAACTTTGATTGAATTGCGCACTATCTAAAAAACAATATTAAGAGCTAAAACTTTGAGAGAATTGTTTTTTATCAATTTGGAACCATTTGAGCTCTTAGGGGCAAGACAATTCGAAAATGTCCATACTAAGGACCATCCCAATATATTTATATATATATATATATATATATATATATATATTATAAATAAAACAATATAATTTTTGAATTTTAAGACACACGATATTTTATCATTTTCTAACTTTGCCTACAGTATTTAATTTTAGGTAAGAATTTCAGTCGATAAATTTTTACATTACTAAATATTCATTCGCTTAGATATATTTATTCTGATATAAAATTATATTTATAAATAATAATATAAACCAAAATAATATCTTACAACATTAAAGAAAGTTAGGTTAAAAATAGCAAATCAATTTTATTGCTTCAGAGATTCACAAAAATTTGGATCAGCAGAGACTAGCATATGTCGTCAAATAAATAAAAACAAAAATCACATAATTTAGTTTTATTTTTTAAAATCACATATTTTAAATTCTTTCTTCATGAATGTTTTCTTTTAATATGCTGTTGCATATTTCCTTTATGGTATGTCATGTAGTCACATAAATCACATTTGAAAGCGGGCAATTTTCCACATTCATATTTCATATGACGATAGACACAACTGCGAGATTTGTAAGTTTTTCCGCATTTTGGACAAGAAAAAACTATATCTTCCAATTTTTCTGATAATTGTGTTACCTTGCAAATATGATGATTCTTTTCATATGAATTCAAAAAGAATTGGTTGCATTTAGTACAAAGTGTAGTGGATGGTGAGTACCAATTCGTGGTAGAATCTGAAACATAAAACATTTAATTGGTCAGTCAATGGTAAATAGACCCAAAATTAATGAATAAATGTATAAAATATTATGTAAGTATATTTCACAAAATATAAATAAAATATATCGCTTGTATTTTTTTTATAAAATACTTTTATCTGTTAGTCAAAATGATGATATTTTTATGACCAGATCTCATGTAGTTAACGTCTAATATATAACATAAAAAATTTAAATAATCTATTAAGTTTTTGTTAAATTATAAATTTAAATTAAAATCGATGTTGATCAGATAGTAAATAACATTTTTTCAACTACCCATATAACTATTGTAAGATTTTCGTGAATGTTCAAAATATTTTAAAACAGTAATCTTTATTTTTTACCTACATATAAAACTTCAAGAAAAATTACAATATATGAAGACACATTATTAATTTCATTTTATTTTATAATAATTTAAAGAAAAACTATATTTTTGCATAAATTTGCATATATTCCATAATACATTCATTTCAAATATATTTAAAAAAATAATTTTACATCACTTTAACCCTTTCGCTACGAACGTCGCCTATAGGCGTCATCCACGACCTGTGCGTACGTGTGTCGTCTATAGACGACATTTTGTGTCCGATACTTCACAATTATCAATAATTCTAATTTGTTATTGTTATTTTTAATTCTTTAAAACATGTGCGTGTTGCTGGCTCGTATAGCAGCGACGCGAAAAATAACGCCGCAGCAAAAAGGTTAAATAAAAAATATAAAAATGTAATATAATTATAAAAATCAGATTATTTACATAAGTAGTTCCTACAATATAAAATAACAAATTCATAATAGCAAATAATTTTTCGCAGACTTATATTATAATATTTGATGTTTTTTATATATTCTGTGCCTTTTGTAAATAAACGAACATGATATAAAATTTATACAGTTTTATAAAAGACGTAAACAATCTAAAGCAATGCCATATTATTTAAATCTTATATTATTTTACCCAATAATTTCTGTCATTATAAATTGATGATAGTTTTGTCGACGTTGATACATATTTGAAGTATTTTGCAGACCAATCGTCGAATTAAAATAAGATTAAAATATATTTTTTTTTATTATGTAAACGTTTCGACACTTAATGTGCACATATTGCCCTCCTATATTTTATGTTATTAATAGCGGTGCATTATGAACACTGATCAAGGTTACAGAGCAAGTGTAGTGATGGAGTGAGTCATTTTACATCATAATTAATTTTTTTTGTTATTTTTCCTGGTTTGATTACTGAATGATGACACACATCAAGTGTCGAAACGTTTAATGGAATAAAAAAATCTATTTTAATCTTCTTTAAATTCGACGATTGGGCTGCAAATTTCTTCAAATATATATATCATCCCATAATATTAGACTTACATAGAATAAACTTATAATTAGTTTGGTATGAAAAGGACCAATATGGACTAAATTTTTTAATCCACGTTAATATCAATAGCCTAAAAATGGTTGTGAAGAAATATATTTAATATTAAAAATAAATCTTAAATTGTAAAAATAATGAGTAAGAAACTAAATATTATATATACATATGATTTCATTAAACCATTATAATGAATTTATTTTCAACATTGGTTTAGTTAAAAAGTTTCTTCCAACAGACAATTTGAATTGCTTATTGTCATAACCTAAGATCACTGTCATAGTTTTCCTGTCCCTTTACCAAAAACTTTTTTTTTTAAATACACCCAAGTTAAACTAAAACTTAACCGACTTGTTCTGCACTATTTTATGTTTTCTAAACAAATGTTTGTCTAAATAATCATTTCTTCTGAAGTGTCTTGAACATATCATGCACGAAAACTGAGGAGCTTTTCCACATTCGTATTTCAAATGTCTGACTAAAGTTTGTTGATATTTATAAGTCCTAGAACATCTATGGCATCGGTAAATTCCTTGCTGATCTAATAAATTTCTACCATCGGCAGAAAAAATGATATCAGATTTAAGACCCAATGCAGAATGGTTGTCCATGAATTCTTGGTAGTTCCAATCTGAAACCATAAATTGTTTCGTTAGTAAAAAAAATTGTTTTTTTAAAATTCATGCAATTTTAATGTGATACATTTTGGCATATTAGTATTAAAGTGTAAACCAGCAAAAAAAATTAGTATCGTTAAAATGTTACATGAGAATTTGTGGAAAATGCAGATAAATTATGATTTTCAATGTCCTCAGTTTCGAAAAGTAAAAATGATTGTTGATGAAAACCTGAATCACATATGATATGAATTACATAATCATTGATATTAGCTAAATTAATATTAAACAATTATGCTAATAGTTAGTCAAAAAAGAGTTAAAAAATTAATACTGACTTCTATGTATGCAAACTTTCATACAAGATATTCTCTAGGTGCATCCACATAAGGACCATAAATAATTTGTCTACAATTAATAATATTTATTAAACAACATATGCGAATCATATCAAAAATTATAAAATAATAGTATAAAAAACCAATTGAAAAACTATAATAAATACAGTATTTTATAATAATATTGACGTGTTCTGTATTATTAATTTTCCCAGAAATTCTATGACTCGTTATGAAGAAACTTCTCCTTTTAAAAGGCTACCTAAACAGTTGCATCTATAATTTGGTGCAACATTTTAAGAAGGGCTATTCTCAATAAAGGGCTTTCAAATAAAAACGCATATCAGTACTGCTTGATGTCAGCCGGGCTTAAGTGGGTATCAATCAAACCGAAAACCATGTGGTTGCAAGGCCAAAGCTCTTACCATAGAGCCACAAAGAAGCATCAAAATATCTAAGCAAAAATGCACTGCAAAGTACCTGAAAAATACAATTTTAAATTAATATTAAAAAAATCATTTATATTTTAATTATTACTTACTTTTATACGACGTCTCCATTCACAGACACTATTTAGTTCAAATTAAAATATGACTTAACATTTATATAATATTTATTGTAAAACATAAATAAAACTACATGTTGATCAATATTATAAATTATTTGAGAATATACTATACTTCTTTTTATTATACCAATAACCCATTTAAATTTTATACAAAATTGGAGAGTAGGGTTTCATATTTTATAACAAATAAATAATATAATGTTTGAAATGAAAATATTACATGATGTTTTTGAGGTATTATATTTTCAAAACAATTATAAATTTTAACATTAACATTAATTAACTTTAGATAAAAATTGGATATGTATAACTTAACATTGAAAATAATTCATGGAACAAGATAATCTATTCTATAAAATTAAGTCGAGTTTTCCTTCCTGACTATATAACTCCAGAACGCACGAACCGATTTCGACGATTTTGCATTCGTTGGAATGGTCTCGGACTCTGTGAGGTTTATAGCAATGAACATTGAAGAAAGATTTCAACAGAAAAGCCGAAAGCACTTTTGCTTTTTTCACATACAGCGCCATCTCTGATACTTAGCATGTACTACAAACTAATATTTTTTGTTTGACTGCTACCCATTTGTTTGACAGCTACTCTTTGTTCTCTGCTCAGTTAATTTCATGTGACAAACCGGCATTATGTTCACTGTGAAATTGTGTAAAAAAAGTAAAAAAAAAACAAGTTATTCGTTTCCTAACATTTCAATTGGAAACCATCAAATCAATCACGTGTATTGTGCAAATTTTCATTCAATTTCAACAGCAGGTAATTTTTTTCTTGGTCTTTTAATCACCAAACGAAATGTTACATAAAATGAAACCATCTGATGGTGAAACGGAGTTCGCCCGGTTTGCTAGTGGTTAATAAGAAACTTGTATTTTAACAATTTATTTAATCGTTGTTTGATCTCCGGTTATTTATTTGGAGGTTCTCGAATATTGCAAACACAGAGCTCGACGCCATACAAAAATATTTGTTTTAACCGTTTACACTCGGATGCCGCCGCTCCGGCGGTAAAATTCATATAAATCTCGAAATTCGCGAGTAGAAAGAGTTAATTTATATATAACTCATGGAATTAATGCAGATCAGTTTAATCCCGTATTATTCTTCTGCCAAATTTGGATCTGTGTTTTCCATGCCTGGTCAAATGACGTTGTAAACTATATTTTCGATAACTTGTAAAATCACACAAAGTACATTTGAATCTTGGTTCAAGTCCACATTCATAGTCTCGATGTCTAACTAGATTCTTGTTATGTTTATACATTCTTCCACAAACATCACACTCATGAGTTTTCTGGGTGATCCTCATTGTTTGGAATGGATAGAACAGGTTATCTGGAAAAGAGAAACAAATTAGTAAAAAAAATACATTAAATTAGTTCTTGAATTAGTAGGTGTCTAAATTGTGGACACGGGATTTGAAGTTTCTGGTTTAAAAATTAAAACCAATCCAAAATCCATGATGTTCTATAGAAGTACTGATGGCATCCTATTACATCAAGTCCCCAAAAAAAGTCAATTTATAAATCCTGCATCAAATTGCTTCTCAATAAAATATGGTTGGTACATTTATCATATTTTATTATCAAATTAATTGAAATATTACAACTTTCATATATTTATATAAAGCACTTATAATGTATATATTATTGTTTTGGTTACTGCTCACATAATTATCAAGTACATATTTTATATGATTAAATTTGATTTTAAAGAACATTTGATCCATAATTATTAACATACATATCTAATGAGGAAAAATCATTACCATCCCAATTTAATATTTTAAAAATATATTTAATGTTGATTATTTATGACATCTAATTATAACCATAAATATGTATGTATATATATTTATATATATAATATTGTAATAAAATATAATTTTTTATATATTGGAAATAAACTTTTAAATACATTGGAAGTGAATAATAACAGTAAGCTTATATATTTTTCACTCTAAATTTTTAGTATATACAGTTGGCAATAAAAAAGCAAATATTTTGAAACTGTAAATACTACTTACTGAAAAATATATATATTATTAAATCTAGAAATATTGCAACAAATTATATAAAAAATAGTCGACATAAAAATATATTCTAATATGTATTGTTAGCTTATATAACTCTATATCTAATTTTATTTTAAATTGAACCACTTGATAATCTAGCAATAAAACTTCTCTTTATTCTAACAGTTTTTTGAATTTGAAGTACAATTTTGATAAATCTATCTTCAAAAATCATTTAATTCAGAAAGTGTAAAATACATATTTTTGATTTAAGACAAATTATAAAAAAATATAATTTTGAAAAGATGAATGTATCGATATAGCTATAAAGCTAAAACTATTTAAGAAATTTAATATATTAAGGAGCTTGTTTAAAACATATAACATCATATTTTTTAATTTTTTTAGGACATTTTCATAATTAATATATTTATTTATTATGTATAATTAGTACACTTTATACATTTGGCAGTTTTCTCAACGCTATCTGTATTAAATAATATTTAATAAACATTATAATATCTTTAATATATATGTTGCACTTATACAAAATTTGTTATATAATGTAAGGTCTACCTGACAACAGAATAAAATCTATAAAATTTTAATCATTTTCCAATTTTCATTAAATCAGTCTAGTTTAGAGTAATATTTACCTGTATAAGTAAAGCTTATAGTTTCATTTAATTAAAACTTTTTGCAAAAAAACTTCATTATACAAATTTCATTATATTATTAAAAAATAATTTCTATGTTAAATTTATTAGCTAGAACTCGTCGTGAGCAAGCACAAACTATTCCCAAGCTTGACCCCAAATCTGGCTGCTCGATATCAAGCAGTATGATATCAAATTTGCATTTGAGGTTATAGATTTCAAATATAAACATAATTGCAAAACAAAACTTCATTACATGCAAAAATAATTTGTATTTGAACACTTTCCACTCGCAAATTCCGAGATTTATATGAATTTTGCCGCGGCATTCGAGTGGAAAGGGTTAAATTTATTAGCTAAAGCTCATCGTAGGTTAGCACACTAATCCCGAGTCTGACCCCATATATGTCTGCTCGATATCCAGCAGTATGATGTCAAATTTCCATTTGAGGTTATGGATCTCTAAGATAATCTCAAGTTAAAATCACTATTAGATATACATATCCGATATACATAAAAAAGAAAAGGCTGACCGCTGGGTTGCCCTCCCGAGAAAAATACTAGTATGATATCGAACTTCCATTTGAGGTTATGGATCTCAAATATAATTTATGCTTTTTGTGGGCATTGCTGCAACACATATATGACAACACTATTAGATTAGAAATAGAATAGTGGTTGACCATTGGGTTGCCCTCCCGGAAAAATAGGGTTATGGATCTCAAATAGCGTTGTTGAAAAAACATTAGTAAGGACAGACTATTATAAATTTGATTAATGAATAATGTTTAATTAATAGAATAAATTAGATTTCGAAGACCCCAAATCTTCCTGCCTTATATCAAGCAGTATGATATTAAATTTTCATTTGAGGTTATGGGTCTCTAAGATAATTTCAAATAAAAATCACTATTAGATATACAGATCTAATATACACAAAAAAGAAAAGGTTGACCGCTGGGTTGCTCTCTCGATAAAAATACTAGTATGATATCGAACTTCCATTTGAGGCTATGGATCTCAAATATAATTTGTGCTTTTTGTGGGCATTGCTGCAACACATATATACGGCAACACTATTAGATTGGAAATAGAAGAGTGGTTGACTATTGGGTTGCCCTCCCGGTAAAAATACTGATCGATATCAAGCAGTACGATATCAGATTTCCATTTGAGGTTATGGATCTCAAATATAATCTCAAGTGAAAATCGCTTTTTGTGGGCTTTGCTGCAACACGTATATACGACAACACAATTAGATATACATATCTAATATATATAGTCTACACATGAAGAGATACCACTGGGTTACCCTTTCATGAAAAATAACAGGTTAGGATGTACAATAGCAAACAAAGTTTATAGAACAAGTAATTCTCATAGCAAAGACCATAATGGGAGCATTTGGATTTAAAATATAAAATATAGCATTTAAAAATTTTATGGGGTGCTGATAAAATATTGCACACTTCATTCATAATATACTTAAATAAAATTTTATTTCATCAAAATTTCATCTCTTTAATATATAAAAACAATAAAATTATTATGACCTCATATTATTATTTTTTTTAAATTCATTTCTTCCTGGTCTGATCATGCTTATTTTTCATATGTTGTCTTAGATTATCTTTGCGTCTGCATCGATAATTGCAAATTGAACAGCAAAATCTCGGTTCGACTCCACATTCATATTTCATATGACGATACCAGCAAGTCCTGCTTTTGTAAACTTTTGGACATTTTAGACATGGAAATGAAAATACATCGGCCTCATCACCTTCAATTTTTACTTCAACACATTCATGGTAACGCAGCATCAGGGAATTGCTGTATTCAGCACCACAACTTAGACAACATAGAGATTCTTCACCTAAAACAAAAAATATGGGATGTTAGATACATGCATTTAGGTTTAAACATAAATTTTATTCAGCATAAAACCAATGATGATTAAAAATACAATTTTATGATATACGTCCATGGGAATGATGATGAACCAACAACCCAATAAATGGAGAAATGTGAGCCTTACAATTATGCTTAATTGATCATAAACTACACCCAAATGAGCAACATGTAATTCTAAATATATACAAAAGAAATACTTACTTTTAAGAATCCTGGTCTATATACAAAGTCATATTACTCATGAATTAATCCATAATTTGGTTAAAAAGAATCTAATCTAACAATTAAACATAAAAGATTTTTTTTATTATGTTTCCTGCAAATTATAGGGAATTATTTTATTAATTTACCAAAAGAGAAGATATTGTTTATTATTGCCACAAAATCTGTTTTTATGATTTTCTAGTAAAACAAATCTCGATTCGATCAAATGGCCATTCGATTTTATGTAAACTAAGTAAGATATATCACTGGAATATCATACTTATTTAAATGTACAGTTTAGCTCATAGAAATTATTTTTGTATTTCTGATTGCTGAAATAAAGTGAAATAAAAAAAAAGATTTTTTAAAATTTGTATTGGAGAGCCAAAATGTGACCTTCTGTCGACGTTTTCTCAAAAACGGCTTCACCAATTTAAACGCCATTTGATGTAACTAGAAAAGAACTCGCTTTTAGTAGATCTTCGTGATGATCGGTCAAGCCGCTTCTTTTAAAATAGCATAATCGTGCAAAATTTTAAAAAATTCAAAAATCATTTGAACGCTTTCAGATAGGGATCATGCTGATTCGTTTTGGCAAAGATCATCCAGGCAGTTTCTACTTTCCTATTTAATTATTGGAAACTACTATTTGACGAATTTGTTGAAATTTATATGGGTCTAAAAAAAGTGGTCAACCTATTGTATCATCGCAATTTAAGAAGATGCTAAATCTATATACTTATAAGTTCATGCAAGATTCCTTAAAGCAAAATGCCACTTTCATATTAAGAATGGTTAAGGTACAAAATTTATCATTGCTAGAATTTTCATGAATAAGTACAGGAAAACATCAAATACTATTTATGATTTAAAAATATCAAGTTACATATACCACAAAATACAGGGTGCGCCATTTATATGTGGTCAATGAAAATGTTGAATAACTTGAACAATTTTCAATAAATTTTGATACACATTTTTATTATCAAATTAAAAGCCTTACAATTTTTCCTTAACAATTTGATAATAAAAAAAGTTTATCAAAATTTCCTTCAAGCCATTCTGAATCAAATGAGACTAAAATTGAATTTGAAATTGTGTGTGTGTGTGTATATATGTGAAAAGATTTTTTACCTTAAATTTAATTAACTGTTTAATTAAAGTTTAATTAAAGTCCATAACCGACTTTTATGAAACTTTTTTAAGCAATAGATATCATGGTCTTATAGAACGTACTGAAATATTATGGCCCTATGGCAAGTAGTTTAATTTTGAAAATTTATCAAAATTTGAATAAATATAAATTAATTTGCTTTTGTGATGTAATAAGTCACATTATCAATTCGTTAAAATGTAGAATATTAAACTACATTTTTAGAACATACAAGCACGTGTGAAACATAGTTAATATAATCACAGATAATTTTTTTAATTGTGTTTGTGAAAATTCTATTGGAAATCGTACTGTCAAGATTTAATTAAAAGCAAAAACTATTTTTGACATAAACAGTTGAAAATTTTATCTGAATATTCAAATCTCAATTTCGGTTGATTAAGTCAATTATAACATTTCGGGAAGTTCATGTAACTTGCCTCAAGGCAAAATACGACTCACAACTAGTTATTATTTTATAATTGTATATTTTTGCATATGTATATATGTGGGGGTATGTGAATATGTTTATATATAATAATTGTTAAATATATTAGGAAATTAACTTTAAAAAGCTAATTGTAAAAATATTTGCTGTGATCTCTTACACCATACAAATTATCTGATTTACAATGATATACTATATTTGTGAGCATATATTTTATGAAGGTCTGATACTATAAAGTCAATAATAATCAAATCAAATCAGTCAATAAAATTATCAAATATGTGAGCGGAATTTCGTTTAGTCATCTAGAAAGTACAATATATAGAAAAAATATTATATTTTTTTATGAGTTGCCATTTATTAAAATTTATTCTGCTGTAGTAATGTAAATATCTATTGCTGCACAATTTATCTGTAAAGGCTTACTACTGCATAACCTTTCAGAAGTATATCTATAATAATTTAAGCATATCCTTAAAATTACAGTTTTTTTGTAAATACAGAATGCAATTTAATAAAAAATATTATATATAACTTGAAGTAATATCAATGACAAATTCGTTTATTAACTTGCCTTTTTCTTGATTTATAACACGTGCTTCTCATGGCGCTGAAATTGACAGCCACCGCACTTCTCATAACCACAGGTACAAAATGCATTCTAAACTAACATACAAACACTACCAGGGTTTTCAGGATAATATTCATAAACCGAATAACTTAAATTGTCCTAAACTACACTATAATTTCCACTAACTAATAAGAGCACATTCATAACAATAGCAGAGATAACAAATACGAACACTATATTGCCTTATAACTAAGTTCCTTAATAACACATAACTAAAATCCTTAACTAAACCTTTACAACCCTGACCACCTGTTATAGATACCTGTTCTTGCGTAGTATTAACAAAAAATATAGTTTACCTACTCTAACTCATTCGTTCGGGTTGCGCAGAAGCGAGATGGCGAGTATTTTGAGAGAATGGATTCCCGAAAAGCTTGCTACGTGATTTGCTAGATGGCACGACCTTGTAATCTAGTAACTAAGTTAGACCGACAGCTGGTGGTAGTAACTTAGATGATTTTTGGACCAACTATTATTAGGCAATTTATTTTTATTTTTATTATTATTAGAACAACAAAGTATAGTAATATAGAGCATATTTTGTCTATTGAAAAGTTCAATTTACAATAAGCAACGAAACATAACTTCTGTCTCCAAATAAAAAAACTTACAAAAATAACATGATGCACGACCTTGTTATCTAGTAACACAGTTAGAACGACAGCTGGTAATAATAACTTAGATGATTTTTGTAACAATTATTTTTAGTCGATTTTTTCAATTTTAATAATATTTAAAATATTATAATATTAAAGTATAGTAATAGTAGCAAAAACCAGAATTAGACCATTTACGTAAAATCAAAAGTCAAGGGGAAACCAAAACGCAAAATTAGAGCATGTTTTGTCAATTGAAAAGTTTAATTGACAATAAACAACAAAATATAAATTTGTTCTAAATAAAACATTTACAAAAATAAGATAATGCACGAACTTGTTATCTAGTAACTAAGTTAGACCGACGGCTGGTGGTAGTAACTTAGATGATTTTTGGACCAACTATTATTAGGCGATTTTTTTTTTCACTTTTAATAATATTATAACAGTAACAAAACCAGAATTAGTAACAAGAATTCAGGTAAAACTAGAAAGTTAGGGAAACACCAAAATAAAAAAATTGATCATATTTTATCCATTGAAAAGTTTAATTGACAATAAATAACAAAACATAACTTCTGTTCTAAATAAAAAAAAAATTACAAAAATAATATAATACACGACCTTGTTATCTAGTAACTAATTTAGACCGACGGCTGGTAGTAGTAACATAGATGATTTTTAGACCAACTATTATTCGGGGATTTTTTTTTTCATTTTTAATTATATTAGAATAGTAAATAATAGTAACAAAAACCAGAATTAGTAACAATGATTCAGCTGAAGCTAAAAAGTTAAGCAAAAACCAAAATGCAAAATTTGATCAAATTTAATCCTTTGAAAAGTTTAATTGACAATAAACAACGAAACATAACTTCTGTTCTGAATAAAAAAACTTACAAAAAAAAATATAAAGCACGACCTTGTTATCTAGTAACTAATTTAGACCGACGACTGGTAGTAGTAACTTAGATGATTTTTGGACCAATTATTATCAGTCGATTTTTTTTCATTTTTAATAATATTAGAACAGTAAAATATTATAAGTATTTGGAACAAAACTTAAATTTTTGTGTTAACAAGGATGATGTTTATGGCTAATTAAAATTTTCAATTATAAATAAATTACGTATTAAAATATTTGTGTTTCGGTTTTCTGTGGTTTGATTTACAGAATGTTGACGCCTCAAGTGTTAAAAAGTGAAAAAATTCTTTCATTTTTAAATCGACGAATTGGTTTCTATATAATATATGAATTATGTTCCAATATAAATTGAGAAGTTGAATAAAATAATGCAGTTTTGTAAATATTTTTTTCTCGAAAGCAATATATCAGTTTTAAAAAGAATAATAATAACTTAACAATAAAACAGTACATTTATGTTTTATGTTCATATATAAATGAGTTATTTCCGAAATACATGTTGTCTTCCATGCTCGAAATATAAAAGTAACTTTCTCGAAATATCTGTTGTCGAACCTGTAAAAAGAAAAAAAATAATTAGTGATATATACTAACCATACACAAATTAAATTCTAAAAAAATTTACCAAATTTTATTTATTCATTTTTTATAATATGCATATTAATTCTGTTACAACCTACATTTCAAAGCATAATACATAAAAAATAATATTTTTTACATAAAATACTTTAAGACTAATTCTAAACTAAAATATTCAAAATTAATTCGCATATGTTTTATAAAAATATATAAATACCGCTACGAGTATTTTAACTAATTTATAAAAAACTATTTTTATCAAACATTTTTTCTAAATAAACACACTTAGTCTATGGAGTGCACTCAAAATATAATTTAAAAAGAATTATTACATTTATAAGAAATAAAAACTTTCTACAAATCACATAATAATTTCTAAAAAACACTATTTAATTAACATATTATTACAAAAATTTTGTTCAGCATATTACAAAATAAATGAGACCACAATTTTAACTTTCCGTGTCGGACTGTGAGTCCGCATCGAAAAAGAATCACTTTCTTAGCAAATGGACCAGATAATATTTAAAAAACATGTATTTCTAAATACGTATCTTCATTTAATCAATATCATTATTAAGACAATCCGAACATATAAATGTACAATGTTCCAAGCACATATATTTTAAACATTTAATGCAGAAGTATTGTTTGGTAGGCCTATTTTTCTTTCGGTCACAAAAACCACAACGCCCTCTTTTGTAACTGCTGCCTTTAATTTATGCGACAGGTCTTTGTTTTGGTTCCTTAAAAACAGGGAATCCTTTACGACCTGCACCTTTATTAATAGTTAACCCTTTGTGCCCTGTACCAATTAGGACTTTATCTTCCAGCAACTCGATGCAGCATTCTGGCGAAAATTTAGATGCTGCAAACATTGTATTATTAAGAATAATTTTAGAATCAAGTAAGAAAAATATTATGATATTTGTTTTGTATGAATTAACCCGTTCGACTCGAATGCCGCCGCTCCAAAATTTGCGAGTGGAAAGCGTTAATAATGTATTTAATGAAATTAATAGTCGACATTGAAGAAAGCAGTAGTACAGATGATGATGTACAAATTAACTAGGATATGCATGTTGGAAACTGCTTCAAACATTACCATTCTAAAAAAATATCACATATAAATTTAGATATTATTTGATATAAAAATACATTTACAAATATAACTAGATTTATTTTTGATAATTTACTTCAGAATGGTAACTTATAAAGTTTTTTCGACAAGCATAGCTGGTCGATTTGTACCAACTCATCTTTATTCCTGCATACTTTACAAGATTTTCCTGAGCTTGGTCGCTTTGCTATATTTAGTGAAAAATAATTATATAATGAAAACAGTAAAAATACTTTAAAAATTATATTTTGTGCCAATAAAAACTTTATTAAACTTATAAGAGTAATTGTTGAGAACAATACAAAATAATTTAACTTAAATACAAAAAATATAAACCTAACTAATAAATAGTATACTAAGAAACTAAAAATACAGTTGCTTTGAAAATTATAATCTTCTAAAATAACTAATAGTACATTTCATAGAGACAACACTGTCATATCACTGCAATTATCTATTCTA